ATCAATAAAAATCGTTTAAAAAAAGACTGAACCAGCACAGAGACCCCAAACCTCACTTACCTCGCTGCAGGCACCGTCACCGGAGGGACCAGGGAGAAGGACCAGGGAGAAGGCGGAAGAGGGAGAGTGGGGACGAGATGTTATTCACTTATTCACGCAGCCACAGGACCAGGGGGGCAGGTGTGGGCCGGGACGGGTGGTGACCACAGGGAAACGGCAAAAAGCCAGGCCTCAGGCCGGGGACCCGGTCAAGGGTCCCAGCAGAATAGAATACGACCCCGGGGCTGCTGGAGGCTTTTGTGGGGCGGTACCCTGGTTGGGGGGTGGGGGTCAGGGACATGGGGTCCTGCTGGGAAAATCTCCCTTCTCTGGGCAACCTCCGTGCATCTCTGGGGCAGCGTTAAGCCGGGGCCTGGCACATGCGAGTCGTGGGATCCGTGCAGACACACGGACTCCGGAACAGGCCGGAAAAGTCAACCGGGGAATGTGGGTTCTGCTCCAAGACCCGGAGGATGTCTGGGGACACGGGGGACCCCGGCACCCAGGACCGTTCCTGTTTGAGGATCCAGCTTCGGAGGAGCTGCTTGTGGTGGGGGAACCCCACTCTAGGGCTGGGTTCTGCCCCAGAGGGACCTGTCCCCCCGCCCCGCCGCCCACACACAGGGTCGGGGGGCTACTCACACTTCCGGCATGGCTGCGGAGGGGGCGGGCAGCACCTGGGGGCAGAGGACACGAGTGAGGGAGGTCACAGCTCCTGTCCCCCAGCCCACGGGTTGTGGGGGGCAGTCAGCGGGAAGGAGAAACCAGGCAGAGCGGGGTCCCCATGGGTCCAGATGGGACCGGCCGGTGTGGCTCAGGGCTCCGTGGCTGAGCATCGACCTATGAACCACGAGGTCACGGGTGGATTCCCAGTCGGGGCAGGTGCCCGGGTTGCAGGCTTGATCCCCACACCATGCCCGGGCCGGGGCCCCTCTGGCTCCAGCTCTGCCTCTGCTTTGTGGGGGGGCTGGGAGTGCAGCCTGGGGGAGCGGGGGGTGACCCCAGCGTCTCAGCTGTCACCCTGGGCACGGAGGGGGAGGTGGGCGCCCATCGGGCCTGCATTCCCGAGATGCTTGGCTGAAATTAGAGCTGTCACCAGCTGTTGGTTCTGAG